GGCGCCTTCCGCAGCGTCGAGATCCGCCTGCCCGAGGGCACGCTGGTGAACGCGCGCATGCCCGCGCCGATGACCATGAACACGGTCTTCGTGGCGCACGAGATCATCCACGCGATGTGGAAGGCGCTGGCGCAGGCCCTGCCCGAGCGCGCCTCGGCCGGCTGGTCGAAGGCGGTACATGCCGTCACCGCCGGGCTGCGCGAAGACGGCGGGCGCTACGTCATGTACCAGTGGGCCGGCGCGCCGGCCGGCGGTGGCGTCGAAGGGCCGCGATGGTTTCCACCTGATCGGCCACCTCATCACCCTGGGCGGCCTCACCCTGCCCAACCTCGAAACCTACGAGCAGCTCTACCCGGTGCGCTTCCGCCGCCAGGAACTGCGCCGCGACACCGCCGGGCCCGGCCGGTTTCGTGGCGGCGCCGGTTGCGACTACGAGGTCGAGATGTTCACGCCGGCCGACTATGCCTTCCGCGGCGAAGGCGCCGGCGCTCCATCGAGCTTCGGTGTCGAAGGTGGCCGCGCCGGTGCCGGTGGCGAGGTAATCCTCACCCTGGCGGATGGCAAGCGCATCCAGGCGCCGAAATACGGCGTCGAGCGCCACGGCGTCGGCACCTATCGCGCCCTGTCACCCGGCGGAGGCGGCTACGGCAATCCGAAGACGCGCGATCCCGAGCGCGTGCTGCGCGACGTCCGTGACGGCATCGTGAGCGCGGAGAGCGCCGAACATGACTATGCCGTGGCAATTGCCGCGGATGGCCGCGGCATCGACCGCGCACGCACGGATAGATTGCGTAACGCCCTGCCCTGAAACCGCCATCTGCCGTTCGGCTGGCGGTGTGACGGCCCCTCCGCTCCTTGCCCGAGCGCGAGGCGCCGCCCTAGTTTCTCGGCGACAAGAATGAATCCAGGGAAGGACTTCACATGATCCAGCGCCGTACGTTCGTCGTGGGCACTGCCGCTGCACTCACGCTGCCCTCGATCGCCTTCGGACAGAGCGGACAGATCCGC